TATACACACACACACACGGGTATTGCACTGAGGGTTATTGGCCAATCATACTGTTGTGGGTTAAGAAACTGTCCCTGTGCCTGGTTGTCTTAGTGCACAGTGACCTGTAACGCCGTCCAGAGGGGAGGAGTTCAAACCAATTGTGTCCAGGGTGTGAGGGGTCAGCAGTGATCCTCTCCACCCTCCTTTTGACCTGTGAGGTGTACAGGTCCTCCATGGAGGGCAGGCTCACACCAATGACCTTTTCTGCAGTCCTGACTGTCCGCTGAAGTGTGTACTTGTCCTGTTTGGTTGCTGAGCCAAACCAGACAGTGATGGAGGTGCAGAGAACAGACTCGATGATTCCTCGGTAGAACTGTAGAGTACTGTTCAAAAACAGAGACAGCAATGCTGCCCTGCACTGTAAACATTCAGGGATGTCTTGAGTTACAGCTAGGTGCTGACTGAGATCTGACAAATCTTGAGGTGCCTTTATGTAATCTACTTTTATTCAGTTTGGCTGGCTGACTTTTAAGTTCAATAATCTTTTTTGAACAAACGGTTTAGTGCTCACACTGCAGGGGATTTTTGTTATTGCATTGTTTTGTTTATTGATGCAATATGAACTCATACAGTCATGCCTACAATCACCTTTACAAAGACCTGACTCCAGGAAGAACAACTGGGAGTTTATTAACATCACTGTGGATAATTCTGAACATCCAAGTCATTAAAAACATTTCTTGTCAAATACATTAAAATGATAGAGAAAATTAAAGGTGCATTTTACACAATGTCTGACAAATAAAGTGAAAGTGTGATAGGGTGTGGTGTCTCTATACTAACCCCATCTATGATATTCTGCTGCTCACAGCCCGTCTCTTGTCATTCCAGCTTCTCTAGTCTGTGGTGTCATAATGTGGTGTGTAAATTCACCCCATCTGTACCTAACAAAGGTTGTAAGAAGCATTTTTTTGAATCGCAAGTAGTCATTTTAAACAGCAATCCACAAGGGACCTCTCATGAGTGGTGTGCAGAGAAAGCAGGATAAAGAAAAAGCACAAACCAGGGTTAACATCAGTCTGGCTTCTTGAGATGAAGTGTGTTAAAACACAGCCCAATGACTCAGATTTGTTTCTTCCTCCTGGATGTGTTAGCATCTAAAGGGGTTTTTACGTTATAAGAACCTACCAAAATGTGTCACAACCGAGTAACACTTGTCACGGGTTCCGCGTTTGTTTCCACTGCCCTCGGCCCCCTTTGGAGGTGCATTCTGGGAACTAAATTTCAGCACCTCTCAGGAGGTAGTACTAAAATCAAGTATCAGGAATGTGAGGTGTGAGGAGGTGCATGAGCGCAGACCAGTCACCGGTGATTGGTCAAATGTCTGTGCCTTTGTACCTCAAGCATTAGCATTACACAACTGATTGCATGTGTGAGAGCGGTGCAGCCCCTCCCTCTTCTAAACAGAGACCAACAGAGAGAAAATACAGCAGAAAAACAAAGCAGGACAGTTTGCGTCAACCCTGGAGGCTCTGTTTGGTGATGTTAAGGGTAGTACAGGATATACTGCGCATTCCGATAGTAGGCTTTGAGTAACATTAGCAGTAACCAGAACGTTCTACTGGACTGACAAACTTGTAATAGCTTTGAAGTGGAGGCCGCATCTTGTACAGTTTGTCACAACCAGACATCAGTAGTTTACATCGTCACTAGGAAACAAGATGAGATGGGAGGGGCAGTTTGTTTTGAGTCTCACTAGATCATCTAGCAGCGGAAGAGTGATTAGAGCAGCTTTAATGGAAGGGTGCA